ACGAGGATTCGAACCCGCAACCCGCAGAATGCGAGTCGAGCGCCCTAATTACCTGGCCATGCCGGGCCGTAGAGAAGTTAAGGCAGTACGAAAACAATAATTTCAAAATTTAACTTGTAAAATTTTAAACTATTTAGCAACTGATTACTGACAAGCAATAATTCGGTAAGGTCGTTTCACATTCTACCGAAACGAACTTTATAGTGCTTATCGATTAAGAATACCATCCGCCTTCTCAATTTCTAACATGGTTATCATCGATAACTAATTTCCATATTGTAGTCAGTTATAAATGTAGATTTTTTTTTTCATAGCAGAGCCATACTTGCTATTTGCTGTGTCCACCGCGAGAAATCGAACCCCGGATTTTAGCGTTGTAAGTCCACAGACTTACCGCTGTACCACCGGGTGGACACAACTTGAGAGAATAGTTATATAACCACTACTTACAATATACTGAACAAATATAGGTTGATTGATTTTAAGGTGGTTTTTATTTATAGGATATCTTAAGTTATCTTAAGTCTTACTCCCTCAATTTGTTACCATCTAGTAGAAAATTATTTGTGCTAAATATAACGAAAATCAAATAATACTTAGAGGTCGCTCAAAGCACTTGAATTTTCCGACCATCTCTTCAACAGAGAACTATTTAATTTCTTTGTTGTATGAAAATTAAATAAGGATGAAAGCACTTTATGAAACGTTATTCAGTCATAAAAAATAGAATACATTATATTCATTGAGTTGTAGTTTTTTGATTCAACTAAAAGGACACTAAAAAAAGAGAAAAAAAGGCAAAATAATTATAGCTTTTCCTTCAACTAAGAAAATATGTGTAATGTGCATGCAGGAAGATGGCAAATGGCGTCTTCTTTTACGTTTTAAAACAAAATAAATGACATTCACAATATAAATCTAGTTTTTGCTTCAACAAAAAATAACATGTGCGGGAAAATAGCAAAGGGTTACGTTGGACTGAGCCATCTTTTCAAAGGTTTAGGGAATATCTATTATCTATTATGGATAACTGCAAGCTGTAATAAAAAAATACACTTACATATTTGATCATATTCTAATACTCGTGAAACATCTTAAGTTGTGCGAAAATCGCACTATCGCTCTCTAGTAAATAAAATCAGTAAACATGAAGTATATATTTCATTTCTAAGAGGAAAGGTCTTTACTTGCAACACTAGAATGTATACTTGCAACGGTAGAATGTTTTACTTGTAACGCTAGAATGTATACTTGCAACGGTAGAATGTTTTACTTGTAATGCTAGAATGTATACTTGCAACGCTAGAATGTTTTACTTGTAACGCTAGAATGTTTTACTTGTAACGCTAGAATGTATACTTGTAACGCTAGAATGTTTTACTTGCAACGCTAGAATGTATACTTGCAACGGTATAATGTTTTACTTGTAACGCTAGAATGTATACTTGCAACGGTAGAATGTTTTACTTGTAACGCTAGAATGTATACTTGCAACGCTAGAATGTTTTACTTGCAACGCTAGAATGTTTTACTTGTAACGCCAGAATGTATACTTGTAACGCTAGAATGTTTTACTTGCAACGCTATAATGTTTTACTTGCAACGCTAGAATTTACACTTGCAACGCTAGAATGTTTTACTTGCAACCCTAGAATGTTTTACTTGCAACGGTAGAATGTATACTTGCAACGCTAGAATGTATACTTGCAACGCTAGAATGTTTTACTTGCAACCCTAGAATGTTTTACTTGTAACGCTAGAATGTATACTTGTAACGCTAAAATGTTTTACTCGCAACGGTAGAATGTATACTTGCAACGCTAGAATGTTTTAGTTGCAACGCTAGAATGTTTTACTTGCCACGCTATAATGTTTTATTTTACTTGCAACGCTAGAATGTTTTACTTGCAACGCTAGAATGTTATACTTGCAACGCTAGAATGTATTAGTTGCAACGCTAGAATGTTTTACTTGCACGGTATAATGTTTACTTGCAACGCTAGAATGTTTTACTTACCACGCTATAATGTTTTATTTTACTTGCAACGCTAGAATGTTTATAGAAATTTCCTCTTACGAGGTAGAAGAGTCCAAGATATTGAAGTATATTGTGTCTGTTAATTTTGTAACATATAAATTCAGACTAATGATATCACTCAGGATAATTGTTCTCTTTCATACAGCTTTCTAAACGTAGCGATTATATAAAGGAATCTGTAATATGTTAGATTACTATGTAGTAACTAGTTACAATAAGTACTAGGAGTGTTGCCTACTACATAATGGATTATTCAAACCCTAATAAGAAAGACAGAAGAGCCTTTCTACTCTTTCCTATTGCTTGTTATGTTCTTTTCAAGTACGTCTTACCTCAAACACAGTTTATAACTAAATAGTATAGTTATAAACAGTTTCACTTCGTTAAAGCTTTCACAACCAAGTTTAAGAAGTTACCAATCAACCTAATGAGTAAAGCCATCAAATTACGTAATCGAAAGTAGCCTTTCTGTGATGGAGACAGTTCATTCTTGTCATTAATTAGAATAATAATTCAAAACATCATTATAACGTCAACTTATTTTCATACGTACGAATTTAAATCTATAGTTTCCAGTAATGCAAGTATAGTAAACCAACGTTAAGCCCCATGTCAGACTTGTCGTGTAATATGATTTGTCAAATATCTGTAAATAATATGGACTATCCCCGCTGTTCGTAATGTCTGGCTTAAAAAAACCATACGCTTCGGCTTGTCACATAATAAGCCTATTTTTCATGATAACCTTATACTGTACTTCTAAGACAATGAATCTAATACACTTTTTAAAAGATATTATCTGTATTTTAACTTGCACATTTTTTCAATAAATTTAGGAATTGGTTAAAATTATTAATTCGTAACTACAATCTAAACGTATCATCATCATGACAATAGATTTCTGTCTGCTGTTGACTTTGTCTATATTCATTAAAGTCTTCTCATTTAGTCATCTAGGAAGTGTTAATATATAGACGAATATACATATACACATATATACACACACATATATATATATATACACACACACATACACATATATATATATATACACACACACATACACATATATATACACACACCTATATACACACATACATATATATATGTACACACAAACAAATATACACATACATATATATATATACACACGCAAACACACATATATACACACACACATACATATATATGTAGAACTCTCATCAAAGTACAACATCTAATTATTCCCAACTATCACTAATTTCTTCTGAACCAATGATATGGAAGATTACTGAGGCGACTGAAAATGTATGACCCCTTGGAGGTTGATATTAGTTGGGCTTACTACCTTTGACATTTTTCTACATATCTGCTCAAAGTGCCAAACGATTTACTGACTTTTCTCTCATTACGTGGCACGTGACACGTATTTGCGATGTTTTCGGCTGTATAATAGCCTGTTGAGTTAGAGTAAAGAGAAAGAGAGAGTCGGACACACATAACGTTAACTTATAGGCTTCCCGAGTTCTGGAGCATGCGCTGTGGCTAAGCTTCCGTACTAGTGTAGTGAGACAACGAGTCGGAGCGTTTTAAATCGCCAGTCATACTGCAAGAAGTTGTCACACCGAAAAGCAAGGGTTAATTTATCGCTGTTTTTTGTAATGATGCCATTAAATGCATTGGTTTTTATAATTTAATTGGGTTTAATAAATTCGATAAGAGTGAACGCTGCGCAAACCGAGTTAAAGATGAAGGTCAGATATTTCAAGCGCCAATGTTTCCTCCCGCTTTGTCTACCTATATTTAGAAGATGGACATTCGGACTTGTGGTGCTGACCACTTTATCTCTGGTTCCAATAGCAGTGGCCAAAGAGGATTTGTTCGATTATTTAATTCAATATGACCGATCGTCAAGTGATGTCGTTCGGGTCAGCGTTCTTCTGCCAAAGAATTCCCTATACCTGGGAGCGATCCCTCGAGTTGGACCAGCAATTGAACTGGCTATCCACTGGATTGAAAATCGGGGACTTTTACCGGGATGGCGCTGGCAAGTGGAGTATGGTGACACCAAGTGCAGCACCGCCTATGGTCCCATGCGTGCCTTTAAGGCTTTCATCGAGGACCGGGTACATGTTTTCTTTGGTCCGATGTGTGACTATGTTATTGCTCCCATCGCTCGACTTCTTAAATTCTGGAACGTGCCAATGTTGACTGCAGGAGCCCTGGCTCGAGATTATGGATTGGATAAGACCATGTTCGACAATGAATTTTATTTACTAACACGAACAGGCCTTTCTTTCAATGGGGCCACGTCCTTCTTATTGGCCGTGTTCAATCGTTTTGGTTGGCAGAACCTGTTAGTAATGTACGAAGAACTGGCTCGACCGGAAATTGCTGAAGAAGACTATTGCGTTCTGTGGACGAAGGCCCTGGTTTCGGAGCTCCGTCTGCTTGGCAACTTTACCTTCCATACGTACAAGCTGAAAAGTAACCTAACAGAAGCCGAATCGTTAAAAGTCCTGAGGAAGGAAGTAGGAACGACGTACGGAGGTAGGAAACCGCATTTTAATAAAACGGTTTAGATTAATACAAACGACGAATTCATAAGTTTTAAAACAGAAGGGCCGTGCGTGTCTTAGTGGTTAGCGTGCCGGGATATGGATCCGGGGGTACATGGTCCGCGCCTTTCGCGCCCATCACCGCAAAATGCAAATCGCTGTCTTTAGATATGTGGGTGCGTTACAAGAGTGACGGGGAAATCTCACTATTCTATTAGAGTAGCCAAAGAATTGACAGTAAACGCTGTTGACTGGTTAACTTTCCTCTAGTTTATCAGTTCAAAGCTAGGGACGACTAACGGGAATAGCCTTTGTGCAGTTTTTCGCGAAATTTCTGACACAATCAACCATTAAACCAAAAATATATATATTTAGCTTCACCTAAAAATATTTGAATTATGCCCACATACTATAGTATATTTGTTATTTATTTGACTCACAGCAAAGACCACACAAGAAGATTGGTTTTAAGGGATTTTATGCATTCCTTGTGACTCAAACTAAATTAGCTTTTTCTTGCGTGGCCCGACATGGCCAGGTGGTTAGGGCTCTCGACTCGCAATCTACGAGTCGCGGGTTCGAATCCTCGTCACTCCAAAATTTTCGCCCTTTCAGCCTGGGGGCGTTATAATGTTTTGGTCAATCCCACTATTTTTT